CCTTGTCATGGCTGTAGTGGTTAAGAGACTCGGCTCTTGAGGCTGAGGGCGCCGGTTCGAATCCGTGCTTGCGCGGAGGAGGTCCTGTGGCTGGTAAAGTACAGACTGTCCTTCAGGACATGCGATAAAAATTGAAGCGACGAAGAAACAAAAACCTAAGTAGCAAATCCGGATATCCGGTAGACCAAGTTTATCCGGAATTTTCAATCCGGATGAGTTTTCCAGATTAATTCCGGATATGGAAAATCCGACCCTGCGCAAAATATTTTTTTTTACCGAAAAGTTCGCGAAAACAAACATACTTCAAAAAAATCTGGAAAAAAAGTATGTTGTTCATATGAGTGATACGAACAACTTTTGGCTTGAGGGCATCTTTGATATCTCAACAGATATGAAGATAAAAAATAAAACAGAAGAAGAAAATAATATTGAGATAAAAAATAATAGAATGAATTAAGCATCCCCCCTCTAAACCCCTTTATTCCCTATCTTACCCCCTTTGAACCCTTCAATGCCCTATCAACCTTTTCATGAAATAGGAACGTAGTTCTATTGTATTTTGCATGGGTTCCCTGATTTGGGGGATTGGGACGGGTAGGGTAGCATGGGTTATCAGGCCGGATAATCTGGTCGGATTATCTGGCCAGATGATCGGACGGTAGGGTCATCCGGAAATCCGGATGATAAAAAAAAAAAAAAGGCCAACAAAAAATTAAAAACAAAGTGATATTGCACATAATCCGACCAGATGATCCGGCCAGATAACCCATCCAGAAAACAGGGAACATCTGGAAAGATGACAAAAGCGGAACCCTCTGGGGCACGAGATGCGGTCCGCTTCCCTACCCGTCCCAATCCCCCAAATAGAACACAAGGTCGTATTCCCCCGAACAGAACACACAGTCATTACAGCACATCTCAGTAGTCCATTGATAGAACACAATCATAGTCCCCCCCCCCCCGCTCTTTTTGCAACAACATAAAAGATGAGACCATAAAATGCTTCTCTAACCTGCGCCTTTTGCAACAACATAAAATGAAATAAAATAAAATAAAATAAAATAAAATAAAATAAAATAAAATAAAATAAAATAAAATAAAATAAGATAAAATAAAAGATGCTAGCATGGAAGTGATCAGGAGTTGAAATCCTAAGAGCTCACCTTTATCCGATCTCCGTCTTGCACCATATCCAGCTTCGTGATCCATTCCCCTTCCACTCTATCGATTTGACAGATCCTCTCTGCCAACTCTATTATCTCATATTCTGTTAACTGATGTCACACGCCACATAGAGACACCATTACAGAGACACCCATTATAGCGCACCATTATTTAATTATTATTATTATTAATTTATTTTATTCTATTTTATTTTTAACAAAGTACACACTCATTACTCATTAGAGAAAAAAAGGGTGGCCGGCCACCCCACATAAGGACCGGTACTGGGAGCCCAGACCCAGCTTCGCTTTTTACGGGACCCAGTAGGACCCGGGCAATCGGAAAAAAAAGTAGAGAGAATTCAGAGAAAGGAACGGAGCACAGTTCGATATAGAGCACCATTCGATATAGCACCATTATATAGCACCATTATCAATAGCACCATTATAGATCACCATTCGATATAGCACCATCATAGAGCACCATTTGATATAGCACCGTTCTATATAGCACCATTATAGAGCACCATTCGATATACCACCATTATAGAGCACCATTCGATATAGCACCATTATATAGAGCCATTATAGAGCACCATTATATGGCACCACTATAGAGCACCATTCGATATAGCACCGTTCGATATAGCACCATTATAGAGCACCATTTGATATAGAGCACCATTCTATATAGCACCATTATATATAGCGCCATTCGATATAGCACCAGTATCAATAGCACCAGTATAGATCGCCATTCGATATAGCACCATCATAGAGCACCATTTGATATAGCACCGTTCTATATAGCACCATTCGATATAGCACCATTATAGAGCACCATTCGATATAGCACCATTGTATAGAGCCATTATAGAGCACCATTATATGGCACCATTATAGAGCACCATTCCATACAGCGCCGTTCGATATAGTACCATTATAGAGCACCATTCGATATAGCACCATTCTATATAGCACCATTATCTCACATCTGGTTAACCAGGGGTGTTATTTTCGACGAATTTTGCACCGAAACAGTCACATTTTGCCGATTATTTGTTTTTTTTTCTTGTTTTTCTTTCTGTGTGAGATATATGTGCTTTAGGGTACGTCACGTTTTTCTTTTTTTCTTTTTTTCTCTTTTGTTTTGACATGTTTGGATCAATAATTAAAAAAATTGGCATTTCGTTGAATTCGTTGGACGCTTCATTTTATAACTTGGACAGTGTTTTTGTGCTAGAGTTTTATAGTGTGTTTTTTTTTTTTTTTTCGTTTTCTTTGACCCGCTTTTTTTTGGTTTTTGTTTGTTTGTTTGCATTATGGAACCCTATCATTTGTTTTCGAAATTTTTGATGAGTTCCGTACCGACATTGCCCGCAAAAACGACAAATACTAGGACCCCCGTTAACCACCTCTCCATTATCTAGCACCATTTTCCATATAGCACCATCATAGAGCCCCATTCAACATAGAACACAATTACAGAGCCCAACTCTATAATGGAGCACCATTACAGAGCCCCATTAAGGAGCACAACTGCAAAATGAAGCAAGGGGAATAGAAACGAAAGAACCATTACGAAGCAAGTAAATAGCAAACGGATATCTGATCAAGCAAGAAGCTAGCCGGTATCGCCCACCTGCAGGTCGGGAGCAGCCCCCGCATGTTCTCTCGTGAACACGGTTCTGGCT